CGGGGCTACACAGTGATTGACAGGTCTCTACCAGAGACGTATACGACCTCTCTACGTCACTCCTCCTCAGTCCTAATATGGTCACTTCTGTACGTCCCCAATGCTAGCTAGCTAGCTTAGCTATGTTCCACGCACAGATGTAACGTTGTCTTACCTGAAGTGTCTTTTTATTAAAAGTAACATAATGCAACGCTAAAGATTAGACCAGTGGAATAAATGTTTTCGGTCAAATGATCGAATATTTCACAAACATGTTTTTTGAGCAGCTCCTCCTTTTGTTTGTCTTGGTAAAAAATGTGATTCGGTGCATTTTGTAAAGAATTTAAAATAAATGATTAAATTAAGCGCAAGTTACGTGGAAACAAAGGGTTAAAATAGCTGAGTGGAAATATTTGAGTTTGTTTTCCTTCTATAGAAATAGTATAATCTACTTCAGCGTAAGATGAATCCATATTCGTACCTTTATTTATTCTCATGTTTCCTCGACGAACACTCGTGTGAATCAGAGGAAGATGGTTTGGGATGTAAATGAACATGCTAATAACTCCTCTTCAATAATTCATAGCTTCCTCTCGCTCACGTTCTTCAAACCTGCAAACATTTCATTATCGCGTCTCTGACTCCGAAAGGTCAAAGTCATGTTGTCGTCGCTCTAACGTGTGAGCCTGAAGCTGGTTTTCAGAGCGGCTCTAACTTCATTAGTGTCGCTGTGATGACATCAAGGACTCCTTCTCACCGTCTGTAAGATCATCGGAGATCATTTCATCTTTCCACTCTGATGCTCATGAAGGAAACTTTACCTGTGGTCAAAGTAACCAAGTACACTCACTCAAATACTTACTTTAGTACAATTCTGACATACTTGTACTTGAGTATTTTATGCTAAAATATACTTCTCCACTTCTACTATATTCTACTTATTACTCCACATTTATACAACACTTATTGACATATGATATAATACAGAACTACACTGCTAATATACCCAGTAATATATAAAGTATTTAAAATGTGCCTTTCCTCTCGGTCAGAGAGACATTAAACGCTTCATTTATAACAGATATTATATAGATCCTCCACCTTGTCATCGTCATGTTCTCTGCTCCTGTTCTTAAATATCTGTTCATTCAGTTGGAAACGTTGTCTGTTGTTTAAACTGAGATGTAGACGGCAGACTGACGGTATTCGGATGCCGTTTATTATCATCATCCTGCAGCATAAACTCTGTTTTTGCATATAATTAATGTGAAAATTCTCTGTTTATTCCTTTGCCAGTGAATACCCCCACATCAGAGCTGCCTGAGGGACTATGTATATTAATATTTGTCTTGTTATGTGGCATAAAATATAGAAAACTGTCTTATGTTAGATAAATATCTGCCTCAAACTGTTTGATTTAATTGTATTTTATTTTAAATATACTGCTAGTGTTGAAGAATAATACCAGTTGGAGTTAATTGAAAAATCTGCAGTACTTTAACAGAGTATATCGGCTGTGTAATAATTATATTTGTTTAATAGCAATGCAAGTGTTGCACTTAAAGGCACAGTGATGAATGGGATCGGTGTCGATACACACTGCGGTGCTCCCGTCTTCATCTTCTTTGGTTAATGTGAAACAGACTTCCTCAGACCTGACGGATATTTCCCATGACTCCTCTGATCAATACCGGCGACCTTAAGATTAGTGAGCAGACGAGGAGGCGGCTTTCAGAGGACTGAGGCAGCAACGCAGCGAGTGTCTCTCACTTCTCTAATCAGAGAAGCAGACGTGTGTGTGTGTGTGTGTGTGTGTGTGTGTGTGTGTGTGTGTGTGTGCGTGTGCGTGCGAGAGTTCATGGCCTTGTTTTTACTGAGACAACGGCAGTGTGATGCTAAGCTGAAACACTCATCATGATTTGCACGGCATCGTGATGCCTGAAGACGTCCCTGTAATTAGCAGGAGGAGGAATCATCGGGTGAGAGTTCTAAAAGAACCGCAGGAACCTGAGAACGGGGGATGGGATGTAAGAGATTAGCCTTCACTCCTGAAGCCTCCAATAACGCTTCCATCTATTTATTTATTTATTTATTGGTTTATTTGAACAGGACAGTGCACATTAATAAAAGCATTTCTGCAAATGTGCCAGAGTTAGCCAAAAGGCTATTTTTCATCTGTAGTCCCAAGATCTGGGATAAGATTCAGATGCTTTACTTCAGTAAAAGTACTAATACCACACTGGAGAAATACTCCACTGCCAGTAAAAGTCCTGCATTCAAAACCTTAAGAAGTATTTCTTTAGCATCAGTAAAAGTATTGTAGATCAGTAAAATGATTCACTGTTATATCTGATGTTCCTGCTGCATTACTGTGTATGTTGCATGTTAACTCCTTTATATCCTGTTGTCTAGTTTAATCTCCATCAATGCATCATATTCTATCAGATCATCAGATGTTCGTCTCTGTCCTGTGAGAACCACGTATCTCTAAAGAACAAACAAACAAACTTTTTACATTTGTTTTATTTTTGGTACTTTCATTATGTTTGATGCTAATATTTTTATACGTTTACTTAAAGTTATTGTGAGGAACCCTGCTGCAGTAACATGAGAGCTTTTCTAAAGGGAGTCTGGTGCTCAGAAACAGTACCGCATTAGTCCACAGGGGGCGCCAACATCAACACAACATGGAAGTTCCTCGTAGTAGCTTTAAATACAGTTTAGAGTATTTCCACACCGTGATATTAATACTTTTGCTTCAGTAAAATATCTGAGTACTTCTTGTACCGTGTTGTGCAGGCAGCTTGTGACAAACTTAAAACAACGTGATGAATTATTATAGTCAAAGCTCCTTGTGTGTGTGTGTGTGTGTGTGTGTGTGTGTTTGTGTGTGTCCTTGGTTGTTGTTTACTGGATTCTAACTATTGTGTGTTTGTGTGATTTCAGGCGGCGTCCGGCGCCCTCAGCAGTCTGGGCCACGTGTACACGGCGATCGGCGACTACCCCAACGCGCTGGCCAGCCATAAACAGTGTGTGCTGCTGGCGCGACAGACCCAGTGCCGGCTCTCCGAGGCTCGCCAGCTGGGCAACATGGGCGCCGTGTACACAGCGCTGGGAGACTTCACCAACGCCGTCCAGAGCCACGAGCAGCACTTGGACATCGCCAAGGTACAAAGCTGCATCTTTACATCTGAACGGTGTCTGGTGGGGAGGAGGAACACTGTGTGTCCTGAACCTTTCTGTTTTCAGATTGTTCCCACAAAGTAAGAGTTTATATTCACTCAGCGAGATGAAAAACAAAGAGTGAATGTATCTACTAACGACTATCCTGATCTCTCTTCTTCCTCTGAGCCATAGACCTCCATTAAAAACATATCAGTGAGCCTCTCTGTTGTTCCTCCATCACCATCAACACACTCTGTACTTTATTCTGACTCCATCACACAAACACGTCCTGCTGCCACAAACACGCACTAATAATACTTTAGCAAAATCCTATTCCATTGTCTTGTGTTTAACATTCATAACTGAATGTTTGTTTTGTTCTGATATTTGTAGCCTCGAACATTGAACCTGACATTCTGTTTGTTTAATTAACTGTGAGAGAGAGAAAGCTCGGCCTCGATGCAGTTATGTGTTCTTTGGATATGTTTAAAATAACACATTCATCAAACTAAGTTTTGATTCGTCAGACGTGAATCTCTTCAAAGTGGGTCCCCAGAATAAACAGTTTGGAAACATGAAAATGTGGATTAATTCACGGGTGAAAATAGTCCCCAAATAATGCACTTTTCTATGATCAGATTTCATGTATGCACCTTTATGATCATTTGAATAAAGTTTAAAATATTTTCTCGCCCCTGAACTCAACATCATAATATCTTCTCCTGAAGAAAAGCAGATGATTCTTCACATTAAAGTAAAGTTTGGAGGTTTAACAGCTGAGACATTATGACGTTAATGCTGACAAGCTAAAAACAGAAATGTTTTCTAGATTAAAATATTCATTCTTTGATTCTTCTGCTGCCTCGTGAAGAAGAAGAAGAAGAAGAAGCCGCACATTCAGAGGGAAGATGTTGCTTCACAAACTAGAAGCTAAAAATGGAAATCACATGTTCTCATTGAACATAAAGCCATCGGCGGCATCCAGTAATTTCATTTGGAGATTATTATGGAGAGAAGAGAAGACTGATGAGTAGAAACAGGAGGGCAGCAGTTACGTCTCTCTGACGCAGCCTTTTATAACAGAGTTACTGCCTTTATCCCAAAGAACATCGTGTGTGCTCAGGCTGCAAAGAGTTACACAAACAAACACAACAGCAGACACATAATCTGAGCACATTTCACTTTTTATGTGACTTTTTTATTTTATGTATTTTTTGGACGAAGCGCGAAATCTCAAAGCGAGCCAGCAGCCGCCGCAGCCAACGTCCTGACACTAACGCACTAATCCTCCATCTGTCCGCGCTCACATTCGCAGCAGAATGAAGTCAGATCTTCGGACTACTGAGAGTCTATGAAGTCATCTTTGTTGTGACAGTTTAGCTGGAAATGTTGCAGCTTGTAGCAGAGATGTGAGGCTCCGTGTCCGTCTCTCTCCTCTGGAAATCTGTTTCTTATCTCCAGTTGTACAGAGGACAGATGTAGTTTTTTAAACTTCAATAACAAGCTGCATTTCTTTATAACGTCTGTTTTTAATGTCCTGAAGCCAGTGACAATGGTTTCATTAAGTCTTTTCAAAGTCCTTGCCTTTTGTTTTGAAGAAAGAGAAGCATTAATAATAATCTGATCTTTGATAACGGGGGACTGAACAGCCCTTGTGGTGATTTCTAATGATTTTTTTGTAGTCTTTGGAGAACCGGCGTGAGGAGGCGCGGGCGTACAGCAACCTGGGCAGCGCCTTCCACTCTCAGCGCGACTTCGACAAGGCCATATCGTACCACACGCGGGTGCTGGAGCTGGCTCAGGAGCTGGGCGACCGGGCCATCGAGATGAGGGCGTACGCCGGACTGGGACACGCCGCCCGCTGCATGCAGGTCGGTACAAAAACATGCTCAGATTAACCGAGTCTCTGTTATGTCTTTATAAACATTGGTGGTGACCCCTGACCCCCTCAGGACCTGGAGAGAGCTCGTCTGCACCACCAGCACCAGCTGGAAATCGCTCAGGAGCTGCAGGACCGAGCGGCTCAGGGACGAGCGTCGTCCAACCTGGGTGAGTTCCTCCAGCCACACATGGACGTCACGAAAGCATGTGTTCCATATTTACTTCTCTTTATCTCTGTTTGTTTGATAGTTTGAATTAAGAGTAAATGAGACGCTTTAAGTAAGTAATGAACGGCAGGTGTTCTTAAAGGGAGAACGTTTTCCAAGGACCTCCTCATGAAGAGTGAAGTCAAAGCTTCATGTGTTAAAGCTGCATTCTCTCTA